AGAAGGTCCATCGATGTTGTCGTCAACAAATTGCAAGCAATTAGAACCTCCTATCTCAAGTTTAAGAGGACAAGTCGGAGGTTGAATAGATATTTGTTTCCCCAAGCTTAAGGGACAAATAACTCTACCAAACAAAAATCTATTTTTCATTACTATTATTTTTGGTTGTTTTTATACTTTGTTTTTCGAGAATGTTAGTTATTAATAGTATTTTAAAAGATCTGTTGTAATAAGGATATCAATATTAGTGATTTGATCTACTAAAAACATAATGAAAGATGATAGAATAGTTTTTATAATAATTTGATAGATTAAAGAATTTATAATTTGAAATTTGTAATTCAATAATTTAGAATTTGTTAGCCATGTAGGCAGATTAATCATTTACATTGTTGATAATTGATACTAAATCTATATAAATCATTTTCTATTTTCTTTAGTTAATTTTTTCTACTATTATTTTTTAAAAAGAATACTTATTAAATTGTAAATATTTGCAAATATCTCCATTTTAAGAAATATATATTATTATTATTATTAGAATATCACAAAACAAAAGCAAGGAGTAGTAGATACCACTTAGAGTCAAGTATATACTCATATTAACCAATTTCTAATAGACAATTGAAACATAACTTCTCGTCTAATAATAAAAATTATTAATTACAGCATAAAAAATTCAAGAATTTGTGTATAAAAAGTGGTAATAGGGATGAATTTGACATCAATGAAAATACATATTTTTGTAACCAAAAAGAATTATTGTTCCTATCTTCGTAACCAAATGTAATGAATACTTCTCATCATCCTCCCCTTAACCCAAATTATCATATACAATTTATTCGAGATTAGTAAATCTTAAACTTTAGGAATATACGTTAAAATGGGATTATTTATTAGATTTGCTGTGTATTGAAAGAAGAGGGCCAAAAGTGAAAGGGATAAAACTCATCACATTATTCAAAATCCACAAGGTACCAAAAAGGGTGATAATTTCTTTAAACAAATACTAATTTATGGAAAATATAGAGCAAAGAGATTCCATAAATGCTTATTCTTCCAGTAGTCGGCTCGAGCCAGGTTCACCAGAAACCACACATTTTCACCGGATACACCTTGTTATAAAGAAGAGATCATCAATCCCTTCAAAAGAAAAAATTAAATAAGGACACCAAAAACAGAAAGAATTGTTCACCCCTAAAAAAGAAAGCTTCAATGCCCAACTATCAACAAAACCATACTAGTTTCACCATTTATCCACCCAAAGAGGTGGGTCTGATCAGCTGACGCCCAAGATCTATTGTTTTATTTACCTGAGTGATCAATCAGTTGAAATCTGAYTCAAATTACGGTATCTAACGAACGAAAATATGAGTCTCAATAACGTTAAAGCATGAAAAGTCGATAGAAAAATAAAAGAGAGGGAAAAGAGGGAGGGAGAGAGAGTTCTCTTAGTTTCTCTTCTCCTCTCTAGAGGGTAGGCTTTCTAGTTTCTACTCACCTCCACATTTATTTACTCTTCCCATCAAAGGCAATTGGCCTTAGCAAAATGAGCAATGAATACTGCTCTAGGTGATTTAGTCCACTTGGGTATCATTTGCATGCTCGGCAAAAGTGTCATAGGTGGCTATTATCTAGATTTAGTTATAAGTTTGACTCTTTGAACTTTAAAAAGTATCACTCTGAATTCTAAAATAATAGTCCTAAGACCTAATAGATACTATAAAGTACAAAGATCTATTAGATACTAAAAAACTCATATACCTATTAGACATAAAATTGAATTTTAAAAACCTATTCGGCAATTTAAAGTTCGAAGACCTATTAAACACAAAATTGAAAGTTGAAGGACCTATTAAACACTTTTTAAAGTAAAGAGTTAGAGAGCTATTAGACAAAACTTTGGGAGTTCCACGACTAAACTATTATAATTTCACCTCATCATCTATTTGGTTAAGAGATGCTTGAACTCACAAGTTTATAACAAATGGAAATGCCCATAGCTAGAATCGATTTGGTCAAGTAAAATATTTGGATGCACAGGTTTGTAACGAGAAGAAATGCCCTTAACTCACCAGAGATTGGTTCATATGACCTCAAGCAGCACCAGCGGTGGTTTTTCCAATAGTTTTGAGGTCAAAGATTTCAATCCAGTAGCCATCAGGATCCTTTATAAACGCGATCCCTTTCATCTTGCCTACAATCAATTGCAAAAAAAAAATACATAAGCTATTTTCACAATTTTCTTCCTCAATAGAAGAAATAATATCAACCATTCAATATTATGGAAGCAATCTCAAAGATATGTTAAAAGTCAACAACTCTTTTTCAGGTTATCATTTGGAGTGTCAACATACATCTTTTCCCAAACATCAGCATCTATATGCTACAAGAGTACACCAATATTTCATTGCATTTCATTTAGAGTGTCAATATAAAATCTTTAAAATGTTGATTCACCAAAACATCTAATATGATTAAATGTGAACTCATCAATGCATCTATAATATTTTCAGAAGTACATTAATATTCTAAATAAAAAAACATCCTACTGAATATCAAGGTGGTAGAAGATTATTTATAAAATGGAAAAGTTTACAAAGTTTCAGGACTTACTGCTAAAACATCAAAAGGTTCAAAATATTTACATTAACATGTGAAAGCAACAAAAAAATGCTTTGGGACACACAAACTACAGCGCCCCAATGATTTTCAGAATTAATTTACACCCAAATTGGGCCTCTTTTGTGAGGGTTACTAGTTAGCCTAGCTTTGACCTAATGGGATTTTGTTTGGGTACTGAATCAACGAAAGTGTTTCCTGTTTTGCCGAAAACTCCTTTTTCAGATCACAACCGAGAATCAGCAAGCAGAGAACCATGGAAGCACATTCAGTAGGATTACCAGATATTTTTACACTATTCTAATACGAAATGCCTTACCATCATCTGGTTTTTTAACAAATTCTACACCTAGGCGTTCAAATCTCTCACATGCTTGATGTGTGTCATCGACAGTTATACCAATGTGTCCTGAAYAATGATAGAAGATAAATCAGAAAAAATCAATCTAAAAAACAAAATCCAGGAATTAAAGATGGTAACATTTAGCTTGTGGCAATGTATTTTGTGCGTAAAGCTCATAGCACAGCATATTATMTTTGCTCTTGGTAGCTCACTGTAAATCTATGGCAAAAACCAACAGAATTGAGCAATCGTAAAAGCATGAGACATTGTATCAAGATAATACTTGCAAGTTTACAACAAAAAGCGAACAATCTAAGGCTTTGTCAACTGCAGTATGGTGCTCCATTTTATAATAATCATCAACTAGATAATTTCAAGATATTGTAGTTCTTGGTGGTAAGGCTAATAAATACCCAGGCCATGGAAATACTTATTCTATTATTGAATATTAAGAAACACGGACACAAGAAGAGGTTAATTAAAGTATATTTTCAAAAAGCCTTTTATATATAATGGCTTATGTGATGTAAAACATTAAAGATACAAGTTTGTATTCTCATCTTAAGTTTTAACAAATTCAAATGTAAAACATTTTCTACCAATGATATAAAATCAAGTACTCTATGAAGTATGAATTATACAAAACAACCCATAGACATTTAAGGAATCTCTTGGTGGACAAGTCCAGTGACTCAGCAGCAATGCTAAGAAGGAGGGAGGGAGAGCTATAAAATTAAACATCACTTAGGTCGGAAGACCTTTCTATTTATTTTCAAGAAAGATGGTGTTCAGGGAGAGACTTCAATAGTTATTTGCACTTTTTTTATATTCGTGAGTATCTAGACTAGCTTACACGAACCTTGATTAATCTCAGGGAGCAACCACCTACTCCCATGACATTTGGTTATATAGAAAACTTGTAGGATTTTAGTAGCCACCATACTTTGAACTCATTTCCCCAAAGCCCTTCACTTTTTTCATAGGCCCAATGACCAATAGCCAAGCCATGGTGGAAAAATCTATTGGGAGAAGAATTACATGAAACATGAAACACTTTAACAAATGGCATGAAAAACCTCGTAGAAACTCATCATAATGGTGCTATCACTAAGTCGAATCAAATGTTAGAGAAAACTCGACATACCCCATGCATCAGTAGGTCTACCTAATTTGATATTAGAAACAAGAAACCTACTATGCTAGCTAAGAAAAGAAGCATTGGTAGGAAGTAACATACCAAATCCACGAGGGTCTGAGTTCCCATTATGATATCCTTTAAATTCTGGGTCGCTTTCAGTACCCCAATTGCTGAAAGAAGATTATGATGGTCAAATGTTAAWAGAACAAGATGCACTCCAATGAACTCAAAATGAAAGGCTGCACTTTGAAAGTATAGTCTCACTGTGTTAACTCAATTGTAGCTTTTCGACCAAAAGTCCAGACCGTTCTATCAACTGAGTCGGCTGGTGCAGAAGCAGGATCCTAAAGCACCGTAACAAAATGTTCTAGATATGAGACTGAGATGTTAATTGTTATTTTATAAAAGTATGAAAACACCACGTCGGCCCTGTTTGCCAACGATTCAGTTCTAGATATCAGAGGCTTATCTCAAATACCCAAATATAGTGCTCCCAGTGTAAATGTAAATATCTGACTATACATACAAAACAAAGWACATCAACATAACAAGTTGTTATAATTGCACCTAGTTCACAAAAGGATGTTACCTCATAACCCATAAAGTACAAACTGAACTTCATTTCAGGAAAATCCAGCCTCTTGAGTAATCTGCCACGTTTTAAAGAGAGTATCATTGATTTCTGGTGTCAAGTTTATTTGACCAGAAATTCCCTGGTTCGACTGGAATCATTTCATTATTCAAAACTTAATAGAACTTCAAGTACCCTAAAGACCAAAAATCATATATACATATGCTCTAAAAATTTTCCACAGAAGAATCAAAACCTAGACCAACAAAAGTTTAGCAACCTCAGTTTCACTTTAGCAACCTCAGTTTCACTTTATATAATCAGCCTAAAACAAGAACTAGAAGAGAAAGCTTACGACATGCCAAGAACTCGAGAATAGAAGTCAAGACTGGCTTTAGGATCCTTAATCCGAAACATCTGCAGCACATTTCATCAAAGGGAATCAAGTATGAGTAATACGGATTACACTCATTCAAAGTTGACCGAATCAATGAAAAAATAAATCAGAATTGCACAAATTGGAAGCAATCTTACGGTCTGCTGCATGATGTAACCTTTGGTGGCATCATCGGGGGTAGCGTGAAGTCCCGGATTGTTGGCCGGAGATTCTTTAGGTGCCGAAGCCATCGAGAAGGGTCTCGATCGATTCAATCTCTACATAAAAATCAATCAATCCTAAGAATTCAATAATGAGGGCAGTGAAAGGGTAGAAAACAGAAATCGGAAAAAAAGCTGATCTGAACCTCGATTCTACTACTTTTGGGGGGGATAAATAATGGGTTTAAAGAACATTTCGATGCGAATCCCAACATACAGAGACGTGATAAAATGGCGGCCACTGATAAAGAAGCCATGGATTTTAGTTGGTTTTCCTTACCTTTCTCAGAGGACTCTCTGGTTCTCCGTGGCTCACTCTCTGATATGCGAAGCGTGCTGATCTGATATGTGGCAATTGTTTAGTTTTTGTTACGGGAAATATATTTTTTTTCTTTTAATTTATTGATTTGTTTAATAATCATTTTTTTTTGTCTTTTGTTTTTTTTGGTTCTTTTAGTAGAATGCTGGGAATCGAACTCACAACCTGTTGATGGGAGATTATAAAATTTGAGRAAGTTTCCATCATTTGATTTCATTAATTCTTTGATTACGATTGCGGTAAACAGATGTCGTAGGTCATGTTTACTTACCAAAAATCGGAATGAGAATGTTATCACTYTTGATGTTGTTTACTAAAACCGAAATCAGAATCAGATATATAATAATTACTTGCATAYTACGTATCATTATTGTGCCAATTTTTGTAATTAAATAATAACAATTTTTATTTTATTTTATTACTATATTATTGATAGTAATATTTTTTATTATAATAATTTATTTAATATTAATAAATAATTCATAATTAAAATAAAATTACACACAACTACTTTACAACAACCATCATCATTTAGTATAAAATATTATTAAATTTTATTTTTATAATATTTAATAATAATAAATTATATTTTAAAATAGTTATTAATATTAGTTAATAATAGCTTTCAAAAAAATATTAGTTAATAATAACAAAGTAGAATAAAAYTAAATATAATTAAAATTAAATTACACCGAGTAAAATATTTTTTTAATAAAACAACCATTATTTAATATTAAATTTTATTAAATTTTATTATTCTACTATTTAATAATAATAAATTATATTTTAAAATTTTATTAATATTAATTAAAAATAACAAAGTAAAATTAAAAAATAAAAGAATAGTTAAAATAAGATATATAAACTAAAAACCTTCTTTTAACGACGGTCAACATTTAATATAAAATATTATTAAATTTCATTATTATAATATTTAATAATAATAAATTCTATTTTTAAAATCTATTCTAATAATTAATAATAACAAATTAAAAATAAAAATAAAATTATAATATTTTATAATATAATTATATTAACTCATAAAAGTTATATAAATTTTTATTAAAAGAAAAATTATTAGTAGTATAAATGAGAAATAATTAATAAAAGTATAAAACAATTAATTAAAAAAAGTTATGGATCAGATGAGAAGATAATAAATGTGTGAGGTCTACAGAATAAAGAATGAAAATGAGATTGACTAGTGAAGAGGAATGGGTTGTCCGTTTTAGGGAATAAGATTCTCAAATTTGAGATGGGTCCCACCATTTGATTTCATAGGAAATGAAAAAATTCATTCTCATTCATTATTTTCATTCCCTTGAGGTAAACATAGTTTTAGCCAATAAAAGAGATTGTGGGTTCAAAAAACTAAGAATATGAATAAATTTAATGATCATTTGAAGGGAAATAATTACCTTCACAGCTGTSTTAATCTCCACCAAATACAGGAAGAATCAGACAAATTCCTCAAATCATGCTGGTCACGGATCTCAATACAATTAAGACGATAGCTTCTATAGATTTCAAAACGGCATTGGAGTCGATCGCCGCCACCGCACCAACGTCGCCCACCTTCTACTCCGTCATCTTTGTCCCTGGACCATGGAAGCTCTTTGAACTAGGATGCAACTAAGATGAAGAGTCATCCCAAGAGATCRTAGGCAGGATCCCTCTCTAATTTTGTGTCTAATAAATCTTCAAATGTTCCAATACAAAGCCATGGACCATACATAACAATGTTGGTTTTGATTTGGTAAGTCGCAACAGCATTATTGACATCTAACGAGGAGATCCCTGACACCCGACCACTGTTCGCCATCACAGAAACTAGTGGRAAAGAAGGATCCTCCCTGAAGATCACCTCCACAAYAGCAAGATACGTCTYTGTTATATCTCGATCCATGCTACTTAATTCTTGAAAAAAACCACAGAATAACCAAAACAAAGCGGAGAGGAACACCCTTTGAAAAAAACTCAGTCAGAGGATTGAGAGAAAACGCACACCCTTCATGGAGATGAGAAAGAGAGGCGATTTATGAAAGACATGCTTGTTTGATAATAATTTAAACTTTTGTTTTTCGTTTTTTAAAAGCGTTTTGCTATTGTGGAGGCGATTTATGGGGAGGATTTTTCTTCCCCGCTGGTTTCTGTGATGGCAAATGATGATCGGATGTTGTGGATCTTCCCATTGGATGTTGATAGTGTTGTTGYGACTAAAAAAATCAAAGGCAACATTATTATGTATGGTATGTGGCTTTATCATTTGGCCATTCTAAAGAGTTATCAGGCACAGAATTGGAGAGAGCACCCACCCGCGATCTCTTAGGATGACTCTTCATCTTCGTTGCGTATTGGTTTAGAGAACTTCCATGGTCCACAGGCAAGGAAGACGGAGCAAAAAGTRGATGGCGACGGAGGTGCTGCGGCGATTGGCTCGAAAACCGATCTGCAATCTAGGGAGGCTATCAGTCTTAATTGTATTAAGATCMGTGACAAGTGTGATTTGAGAAATTTTACTAATCCTTCCTTACCTGTCATTGTGGAGAATAAGGCAACTTTGGAGGCAATTATTTCCTTTCCAATTGTGAATAGGGGTGTTATAATTGACAAGATACAACCATTAATGTAGGATTTTCCCCCAACATCATTAAATGAGGTTGAGGATGTTGTGACTTTGGAGAATGTGTGTGGGCTAAAATTTGTTCATATTTCTAGTTCTTTGAACACGCAAGTTGTTTTATTTGCAAAGTGTGACATTTCTGATCTTTTATTTATCGTTTGAGATAATTGTTTTCGTTTGTGGATTGTAATGATGTCACTCCTCCTATGATGTAACACTACTACTAATGTTTCTTTTTACTGCCATGGTTCTTTATTAAAAATAATAATAATAAAAGCATTTTTAAATTCTAAGTAAATTTCAAAAACTAAAAAAAAAATTTCAAAATCTCTTTTTTTCTTTGACATATTTATAACAATTTTTTTTCCATTCTAAATTTTTTTTTTTGCCTAAATTTATCTCCCTCTTTAAATTAATATTTTTCTGTGTGTTTCTCTCTCAAATTTCTGTCTCTAAAATTTTTCTGTCTCTTTATGATCTATTTTTGTCTCTAAGAAATATATGTTCAACTTTTCTCTGCTTAAATTTTTTCTCCTTCAATTTTCTTTCACTATAACAATTTCTTTTGTTTTTATTTTATTTCCAGTAACAAATATATTTCGAACTTTTTTTTATCTAATTTTTTTTCTCACTATAGTTTTGCTCTAATTTTTTCTCTTTCTCTAATATYCTATTTACTTWTTAGAAATTAATCATAATGRGAATGAATCGGAATGAAAATCAATCAGAATGAGAATGTTATTCATTTGATGTTGCTTCCCAAAAACTTTTTGGAATCGGAATCATAATTCATCTGATGTTRTTTACTAAAAGTAATTGGAATTGGAATCAAATATATGACAATTACTAGTATACCACTTTCTTCTATGTAGCTAATTACAAATACATTGTTGTGCTAATTTTTTAAATTACAATAATAATATATTTTAATTTATTTTATTACTATATTATTGATAGTAAATATTTTTTTATCATAACAATTTATTTAATATTAATATTGTTGAGGGTAAAACCGAGTAGGACGTGTGTCCATTTTGGAGTGGTGCGGGACAGGATACGGTTACACACTGTACGTAGCAGTGGCAGAGGATGCACGTTCCCGTCTACACGGTATAAGTAGCACGCTAGGCCTCGAGCGGCAGGCTACAGACTCCAAGCCTATAGGCGGTGGCACCACACGCCAGTTGTCAGGGACGTACACCCTTGACAAACATCGTACCAGTCRGTGCGTCCCTGCCATCCCAACTGTCATCCTTCCTGGTCRGCCATCCGAGCCTGTCATCCTTCCTGGTCGGCCATCCGAGYCTATATAAGGAAGGACCCTAACTTTCACCAAGTAAGTGAAAAATCKGTCACTAACTCTTAAGGTGTCTTTTTCCTATTTCCTACTCTGATTACCGACTTAAGCGTCAGAGTGTTTTAGGCGGGACACCGCACCAGCGTCGAGTTTTTTGGTTGTAGGTTCATTTGTTTTCCGATGGAGCTACTCGTCAGAGGGACACGTGGACTTTTCCAAAATTCTCCGTCAACAAAAATTAATAAATAATAAATAATTAAAATAAAATTACATCCACTAAAATAATTTTTTATTAGAACCAGTTAATATAAAATATTATTATTATAATATTTAATAATAATGTTATTAAATTTTAGGGTAAATTGCACAAACCACCCCTAAATTATGGTAGTTGTTGAATTATACCCCTAAACTTTTAATTGTAAAAATTAAACCCTCAAACTTTGATAAGTGAAAAAATTGAACCCTKAACATTTAGCAGTAAAAAATAAACCCTCAAACTTTTATGAATGATAAAATTGTACCCTTAAACTTACAAAAAAAAAAAAAAAATACATCTGTTTTACTYTTATTTCCTTCAAATCTCTACTTTCTCTCTCAGTCTCCCATCATTGATTTTTTTCATTTAATCTGGTAGAAATGGAAATTGTAGAAAACTGATTTGTAGGTGGAAAACTGAATTGTAAGCTGGGAGATAACCACAACAAAGATCGATTCAATAGCGAAGTATTAAGAATTTTGTTTTCTTGRGAGTGAAACAAAATTCCAAGAAAACAAAATCATAAGCCCTCAACGTTTTCAATTACACAAGTAAAMAATTACAAAGAGAGTGTGTGAGACAACTGTTGGGGTAAACAGAATCTGTTTCTCAATTGAAGAGGTGAAATTTTATGGGTATTCCTATTCTTCAGTATTCATTAAGAGAATTTGKTGTTAAACAGTAAAAACATAGGGAGATAAAATTAGGGTTTGATTTATTAACAATTGAATTGTCTTCGAATACACAGTATGATRCTTATATAAGTTCGTTAACCCTAAATAA